AGTCAGACAATCCGGATGAGGACTGACAGCATGTACGCAACTGATGCCGCCATATGGTTCAGTATCTCCAGCCAAGCACAGGATCACTTAGACTCTATATTGAATAGCTGACCACACCAACAGCACCCAAAACTTTCGCAGCAACCTTCAATTCCCTCTTCCATGTCGAATTCTGCCCACATCTAGGTTGCAGACACTCCGAAGTAGGCACAGAGAACAGCGCCTGTATCGATAAGCGAAAACTCGACATTCGTAACACATGACCTGGCTGCCGTGGCCTGCAACGCTGGATGCATTTGTTAAATGGAATATAAGCTGCTTAATCCCAAACCCGTCTCCTGATTACCTGATTGCGAATTAGTTGGTCCCTCGCAAATCCGGGTACAGATCTGAGACACTGGTGGTCAAAGACATGAATAGCACATAGATGCTCCGCCCGAAGTGGTCAAGTTTCTCAACCGTACAACAAGACCGTCGCTACTGTCGTTCTGCTGTAGCGCCCTTTCGGTGCCTAATTGCCATGCCACCCGAAGGAAGCACGAGGACGGGGATACCGCCAGGTTGCCCAAGCCTATACAGGGGAATTTGAGAGGCAGAGGTCGGGTTCGAACCGCGGGCCTTATGGTCAGTGAGTTCGCATGGTGGTGGACACCGTGTCCTTACCTGTTTTTTTTCAATTTTTACNCCATGTCGAATTCTGCCCACATCTAGGTTACAGACACTCCGAAGTAGGCACAGAAAACAGCGCCTGTATCGGTAAGCGATAACTCGACATTCGTAACACATGACCTAGCCGCCGTGGTCTGTAACGATGGATGCATTTGTTAAATGGAATGTAAGCTGCTTCATCCCAAACCTGTCTCCTGATTATCTGATTGCGAATTCGTTGGTCCCACGCAAATCCGGGCACAGATCTGAGACACTGGCGGTCAAAGACATGAATAGCACCCAGATGCTCCGCCCGAAGTGGTCAGGTTTCTCAACCGTACAACAATACCGTCGGTACTGTCGTTCTGCTGTACCGCCCTTTCGGTGCTTAACTGCCATGACACCCGAAGGAAGCATGAGGACGGGGATATTGCTA